ATTTTATTATTAACATTATTGTTTTTATTATTAATATTCAATTAATTTATAAAATTTACATTTAGAAGGCATATAATCAGCATATGTCTCAGCAACTCCCATATCCTCATCCTCATTTTCTTCTTCATCTTCACCAGTACGTCCACTACTAGACATCTATAATAATTAACAAAATAATATTGTTGAAACTTAGTATTTTGATTAGCAATTACTAAAATCATTGATTTATTAAGACAATTTTAACTTTTTCCTAAGCTTTCATACATAATTGCATATTTACATTACTAATCTATAACTTGACAAATAAAAACACTAAACAATTAAAGGGTCGGTGGGAATAATATGCTATGAAGCTATATATATGTTATATTATATATGAAAATAATTATGCTTTAAGTTGAAAGAACGTGCTCCGTGCTGTCTAAATAATATTTAAAAGAAATTAGAATAAGTTATTTGTTTTTATTTGATGTTGTAAAACATATAAATTGCTATATAGTACATTATTCCCGCCGACCCTTCAATTTATTTTAACAATTTAAATGTTTAATTTATGAAAAAAAAATATTATAATAAAACAGGAATAACTCTAAGCCAAAGAAAATTTAAAAAAAATGTCAACGATTAATTTATTAGATAATCATAAATAAATATAATGATAAATGCAAAAATAATAATAATAATAATAAAAAAATTATCATTTATGGTTATTAAAAATATTATTAACTATTGTACTAACTATTTAACACTGTATCGCATTAAAAACATTAATTACTTTATTATTCATTGTTTGATTGAACCAATATGGAGATACATTTTTAGGTCCCATTGGAAAACTTTGTTGGGTAAATGGTTGTTGCATGATATTTTGTAATAGCATTGATGCAGCAGGACCTCCTGAACTCAGCAGTTGTGATATTAAGGCAGCATTATTCCCACCATTACTCATTAAAGCTTGTAAAAGAAAATTTGTAGCAGCATTGCCATCCATCATTCCAGCCGATCCAACATTACCCATGCCTAAATACAAAAGATAATTGATCACCTTTAAGAAGAATATTTCAAACAAATAAGGATTTACTTATCTAGTAAATAATTACAATAAAACATGTAACATATAATTAACAATTAAAAAAAATAATTTATATAAAATACCTATATGTTTTAATTGTTAATACCTTGTAAAAATTGAGCTTGATTTATACTAGGAGGCATCATTCCTGGATAAGGCATATTTTGAGGAAACATCATATTATTCATATTTGAAGAGCCTTGTGCCAAATTCATGAAAGGATTTCCCATCATGGCACCCATCCAATTGTTCATACCACCTATATTTTTGGGATAACCTAAAAACAATGTTTTATATAATTTATAATATAATGAATTTCAATTATTAAAAATATTTAATGTAGTATTAAAAAAAACAATAATAATAAACAAACTTAAAATTTAACAGGAAATAATAATACTTTTACTTCAAATTTAAAATCACAACACCAAGATTACAGCTTACATTTAAATTTAAATGAACATATTTTGTAAAAAAAAAATTATTTCATCCTATTAATATATAAAACGTATAAATTTTTTTTTGGCATTTAATGATAGCCAGGAAAATGAATATGATAAATTTAAATGTAAAAATTTCAAAGTAACGAAAATAAAAACCATATTATTTTACATAACTATATTGCAACATTGTATTTTGTTGATTTGTGATTACAGCATTTTAAAAGCATCTAATTTTTTTTTCACACTGAATCTATTATAAGAATATGATACATATCTTCTACACAGAAATATATTTAAATTACTAATTATTACCCATATTATTTGCATTCATTTTAGATGTTGGTTCTAAAGGTTTGGTTAAATTAGTATTAATACTGGTACTAGGCGGCTTTTCATCTATAAAAGTTGACTTAATAGTTGCTGCAGTTGCCAAGTCTTTTCCACCACCTGATAATAAAATCCAATAATTATTTTTCTTATTAAAATTAAAATACATAAAAATAAAAAATAATACAGTAATATATTCATTTATAATTAATACATTTTTTAACTTCTTTAAATATTAAAATATTTTACTTTAACTTCATGTAAAAGACTAAAAGAATATAATAGTTTTGCTAATATTCAATAAATAATTTATTGTATATACCTATAAAATATATTTTTAATTTAATATTAAACTGCAAAAAAGAAAAGAAAAATAATGTTTCAAAAGTCAAGTCTAGTATTAACAATTCATTTCATTGTTAAATACTTTTAATAAAATATGAAGTTTATCATTACTGATTAATTTCTATGAAGAATTATATTTTTTTCAAAAAATAACATTGATTTGTTTATTGTATTATTATACTCCAAAAAGTTAGTAGAAATTATTATTTTTGACAATACTTTTATAATTAGTAATTTAATTACAAGTGAATTTATATATAAACTACAAAATAAAATACATAAATAACAGTGTAATAGAATCACAAGTATAAAAAATAATACTTAACATTTATGTTAGAATTATTAATAATTAGAAAATATATTAATATAATTTTTCTTCTTCAAATCAATTTACAGCCTGCTAAATTTAAATATGAAAAAAATGCTCTAAAAAGAAAATTATGTAGATAATAGTATTTATTTTCAGTTATCAAAATCATATGTAAAATAAAGTCAATTTGACTTGAAATATGAAAACCATTTATTGATGAGCTACCTAAAATTTTTGTTGCGAATGTTTAAAAGTATGTGAAAATAGAAAAAAATAAATAGAATCAAAAATAATATTAAAAATGTATTTGAAAAACAAGATTCTAAGTGAAAAAAATAAATCCTTCTAGTAACAAAAAAATAATAAAATATAATGATAAGTGATTTTGGGTCTAATAAAATGACTAAGGAATTGAATATTTTAAATTTTATTAAATCAAATAGAGTTATTTATAGTTATTATAAATCATTTTATTTATTTAGAGAAGATATTATGAAAGGATGCCTATGTTTCAATGTTGTTTAATAACAAATAAATAATAGTATAATAGAGCTGAAATAAGGTGATTTTTGCTGAATAAAAAATAAGATAAAAATAATTTATTTTTAAGCAAGTAGCATATCAAGCTATTACTTATTTTATTATACAATTATAATAATTTGAGATTTGGTAAAAGTTTAAATATGTGTAAACGCTATCATATGTATTATAACTTTGTGTCTGTTGAGCATAAACTAATGTTTATTTTTGATTATAAGAAAAATCATTACTTTGATAAGAATATTATACCAGAATTCAATAAACAAACAGGGATAAAAAAGTTTCATAAAAAATAAAATAATAATAAGAAAATTTTGAAATTGTTTTATTGATAAATAAAAAAAAAAATTAAATGAAGGAAATGGACATCCAGGGATTGTTGCAATGTAATCTAATTACCCGGAACTTCAGTTTTGTCTGGATCATCATCATCATCAAAATCACTTCCGGAATCTGGATTCTTCTCAGTTTTCACAATCATATCTTTAGACGCCTAAAAAATCAATGTTGCATTTCAGTATTATAGCTAAACCTATTTGGTGTAGAATTAACAGTTGAAGAAAATATTCTTAAGAGAACTATGAAAACACAGAAATGGAATTATGGAATTATAATACAGATAATGGTAATTGATTTGGAAAACTCGAGCAGGTATTACTGTAAGGTGCAACTAAATAGTCTTTAAATAGGTACCATAATATTACTACTAGAGGAATGCGTCGTATTGGCTTTAGACAGCCGTTGCTGGGAACAGCTTACATACGTACGCGCGAAAACTCAACTCTTGCTGACCGCCGACCTGGGGACAAAACGTACACGCTCGCCGGCCAGCAAGTTTACGGGCAGCGTTTACTAACCATTTTATCAGACGGGTCCATAGGGCACGGAGACACGGCTGGAAATGGTTCACGGAGGGGTGGCCAGAGTACGAGATTTCGGCGGCGTCGGCGTCGGTAAGTATTGATTATCCGCAGTGGATCATAATAAAAAATCCGGCTGCAAGCTTATTGGTGGAACCGCCCCGGGACGGTACGGGGAACTTTATGTCGGGCAACGAACAGTACGTACCGGGCGACTAGGCCGGGAAAACGAATTGCGGTGCGCACGTCGCGTTCGTTTGCACGGCGAGAACCGCGATTGTTGTTGTTGTGGTGGTGTTTACAAATTTCGGGGGCTCCCGGGGAAAAAATATAAACTTCAACTTATTCGGTTGTGGGACAAAAGAATACAGGTTAGAATCAATACAATAGTTTCGCCGGAAAGAGAAAAATAACGCAGGCTGCCAGATGCTGTGAACAACACAACGCCCGTTTCTAGGTGCCGATAGTAGCCGTACACAATAATATTACGATATTATATATGTGTGTGTATATATATAATATAATGCTTATAATATGTGTGTTTACTGTTTAGTGTTACGGCATGGCTCGGAGCTCCTAGAAAAATCGTCTAAATATATTGTACAATAAACAATTTGGAAACGTTACGAATGATGCGAGAAATCTCCAAAAAAATAATGTCCCGAGCTCCTTAACGAACCTCTGATTAAAACCAATGATTTTTAATTTTTATCTCTATTTCAATTCGCGCGATACTATGAAAAAGATAAACCTTGCGATCATTGGATCATACTATATAAATTATATTCGTTCCCGGAAATGTTTTATCGGGGATCTCTTAATATCACAAAAAATAACTGAATGAATTATTTAAAACTCGTTCAAATGCCTAATCAAGAATTTTAAAATTAATTTTTATTTGCTCTCCACTTTTCAGTTTTCACCGTAGAACGTAGCCTTGAAAGGCGTTAGCAATTCCAATGTTGGCAATGCGTCAAAATTAACTGAAAAAATGATAACATGGTATCGACCAATGGAACATCGCATTATGGCGTTTGATTTGCATTAGATAATTTGTATACTGCATTACTACTTACTACCATTTCTCCGTAGTTCAGATCATTTTTTAAACAAAAAAAAAAAAAAAAAAAAAAACCATAAAATAAAGTTTGAAAAACTATCATTAGACAATTTTTTCCCCTTGTAATGTAAATGAGTTAGTCAGATAGATTTAAAATTGTTTTAAATAATTAAGTACTTGCATTAAGTGCCAAACACCCCCAAAATGGTTAAAAGTAAGTATTACGTACTGATCGCATTTTTACCAAAATCTATTCTGATGTAAAGTTTTTAATGGTTTGACTGAAAATTATATCATTTCAGAAAAAAGTAATAAATCGTCCTCACAAAACAGCAGTGTATCAAATAAACGCTCTCAAGGATCAATTAAAAAATATTGTACCAAAAAAGTTAGTATCGTTTTTTTTTTCTGTTTGCCATTTTTAAATTTAATTAATTATTTTAAAGGTGTGGTACCGTAATTCTTGCTATAAAATATATATATCGATTCTGTATTTTTTCTAGATTTTTAATTTATTTTGTATTTATATTTTGCTATTTTGATTTACATATTATAATAAATAGCTTTAATATTTTTGCTTTTTATGACTATTTACCATAGATAGGCTGATATATTAAACTAACTATATTTTTTAACCCCATGTTAGATTGTAGTATACAACATTGGTGCTAGTATATATTTTCCATGAATCATAATGATTCTCTAATGTTTTTTTGATTTATCTTATTAAAGGTATTTAATTTATTATTTGTTTTATAACTAAAATATATCTTTAATATAAAAATTTATAAGTATTAAACGCATCTAATTTCAACCACCTTAAACAAAATTAATGACAGAAGTTTGTCGTGTATTGTCAGTTTTAAAATAATTATTTGATAATGTACTTAACCATTTTATATGTATTGATAGGGAAAAATATCTTGATTAAATTATCTTTTAAATATTTATTTATACATAAATAAAAAAATTTGTTCTTATGTTCTAATATTTTTATAAAAAGGTTGTTCAATCATATTTCTAGGGTTTTTGACTAAGCCCATAAATAAATTAATTTTTATAATTATAAATTAATTAATAAAAGTAAAAATCAAATTATTTAAATAGAGGTTTTTTTAATGTAATATTTATTCGAATTACATTTGATTTTAATATTATTTATTAAATTGATTTAAGGATTAATTAATTACTATTTAATATTGTTCATATAAATTAAAAATAATATTTGAAAATTGATGCTTTATTTACACCTAAAACATTCAGTAGGTAGTTTACTTTAAAAAAATGTTGGTAATATTAATCAACATTCAAAATCTTACTATAGGTATCTACTATTTTATAATATTTTACTATGGTATAGTGTATTCATTTGTCTGAGTTTCTTTTCATAATAAAGTATTATTTGTAAGCAAATTATTATTATTATTTTTATTTAAAGACAATTTACAGTCTATATACAAATTATTACAATAAGTAAATTTAATATTTACAGTATCAAAAATGACATGAGAAACATGTTAAGGAAAAAACCTATTAATAACTTCTCTTTTGCTAATTTAATAGATCTTTACACCATTTATGTTTTAATCTGCATGACAGTTTTTTGGGATAGTGATAAAAGACATATAAGATATTAGTGTATTGTTAGTAAATGATTTTTTCACAGTTTAATGATTATAAAAAAATATATAATAGTTTGATTCATTTTTATAAATTTGTTTTATATGTATTTCAAAATTATAAATTCAAAGTTGCCTAGTTTTAGATTATTAATATTTAAACTTCCCTATCTATATTCTTAAAACTTGAGTACCTAATTATGTGTGATTTCCTGGTATTTGACTTATACCATAAATTTTTTATTTATTTGGTAGTCCTATCAACATTTTACCAAAATCTTTCACTCAAATATGCCTTTCAATTACAATAATACTAATACTAACTAAATCAACATCTATTTTAAGTACTCGCAATATAAATGTACCTAAAAGTTAGAAATCATCTCATTTATTAATTATTTAGTAAATTACATTTTTCAAAGTTTAGATACAGAGTGATTCTTCAAGAATGCTTATCCTTTATTCTTTAATACAACAGTTATAAAATTTGATTTTTAAAATGTTTAAATATACATAAAAACTGTATTTACTATTTTCAAATGATAGCCTTTTATGTAATATATTATTTAGTAGATCATTTTTCATTTAATGTTGATGTATTGAAATAAAAATTCAAACAAGTACTTAAATTAATTAACTTAGTACATTAAGAATAAGAAGTTTGTGATAATGGGTTTTTTGAAAATGTTATTGATCTATTTATTTATATATAGTATATAATTTATAAAAATTACCCAAGTAAGATAAATACTAAATCTGACTATGAACATCTGTTTTATACTTTTGTTAAACTATTTGTCAGGATTATTATCCTTCATCTAAACATTTAAATAATAATTTACAGTACAAAAAGGATTCTTATTAAAAAAAAAAAAAAAAAAGTATAAATTTGATTGTCACAGAATACTTCTCTAACTCCTCTAGCAGTATTAAAGTCTAAAGAATTTTTAAGATTGATTATTAAGTTTATGAAAGTTTTTAAAAATAAGAATATTTTGAATAAATACATCATTGAATAACATAGTAGAGATGAGCATGCTGGATGAATCTTGTGGTATATAAATGGTAATATTTATAATCAATGATATTAAGTGTTTGGTATTACCAGAAAAGATGATAATCATTTAATGTTGACAATTATTGATTTAGCTAGGAATTATCATAATTGACTAGTAATTTACGTTAGTTCCTAATAGAAGAAGCCAATGATACTAAATATTGCAAAAATATTAAATAAATTAATAATTATTTATTACAAGTTAAACTGCTATGGCATTTAGAGTTACATAACTTTGTAGAAGTGCTACAAGCACAACTATTAATTTTACATTGTGGTGTTTTACAGTTCCATCTCGTAAAACCTTGTGATTCTATAATCTTTAGTACTCTTCTTTTTTTCGGCTGTGGATAGCTTTATTTCTTCAATTTGTTATGATTGAAAAAAAGTTATTATCATTACGTTTTTTTTCTTTTAATAATGAAATTATGTTGTTGAATTTTAATTGTATTTCATTTAAATCCATTTTTGAAAATATTAATTAAACACAGCATTGTCTCTACTGTTGTTTTCATAAACTGTTATAACCTATGAAATGATACGATACATAAAGTTTTGATATACAATGATCTATTATTATGAGCAATAAAAATAAATATCAAGAAATCAATAACACAAAACCTAGTTGAGATTATCTATAATGTGTTCAATAAGTAGTGTTAATTTACAACATTGCCTAAATTAATATGGAAATGTAGGTACAAACCTAAAACATTTAACAATGCTCAACATCATCAGTAATTATCAACAATGACTAGAGAATGATGATAATTTTTAAATGATCATCTTTTCCGGTAACTAATAAATAATGAATACATAATTATTTTTATTAAAAGCTTACAAGTTAAAATATTAGTTTACGTAGCTTAGATTGCATGAACTTGAATAAATATTTTCTAATATTTTTTTTCACAGATAAATAATAACCGATTTCAAATTAAATGTTATTAATTATGATATTGCATAAATATTTTTAATTCTTCTAGAAAATCAACAAGAAAAATAACCTTTGCGTTAAACTTAGGAAAAATATAAAGAGGAAAGATAATCAAAATGCAATTAATTCTACTCCAATTATTTTGAATAATAAAAGTATGAATTCATTTAAAAATTAATATATATATAATATGTACATATATCAATATTAAGACTATTGGATTTAAGCTAAAATACAGTTTTAATGTAAAACTAAATATTTTTGTAATTTAAATTCTAATTTGAATGAGGATCTTATGATAAGACTAGGGAATATTACCTGATATATTTTTAAGCAAATTCAAATTTGTATCATTTTCATTGGCAAGTACTAGCAATGTATAACTATTTTTATTTGTCAAAAATAACTTAACCACAATTTAAAGTTGTCTATATTTCCTAAATATCTAATTTTAATTTTGAAGTAGCTTCAAAATTAAATGAATGAGAAGGACTAAAAGTTGACATTATAGTATTTCTTCGATAATCTTATATAGTTACAAGAAAAATTATATTAAAATTTATCAGTATTTTATGTAAATAGCAGTTAATTTTATTATAATATTATTATGCTGGGTTACACAAACATTCATTAGGTACCTATCTAATAAGTCACTAACATGTTATTGAATGAATTAAAAATTATTCATTCACTAAATGTTCAATAGCTTTATTGAATCATTAAACTATTGATTACCAGTTAATTAAGCTAATAGCCCAATTTAGGCTTATAAATTTTAGCCAGTCATTAAACTTGTTATCACATTATCACCTTGTGTTTTTACTTATTCACGGTGTATCGTCACTTTTCTTGTGATAAGTTCAAACTTCACGTATATTTTGATATTGTGTTTAAAACCAATACATTTCTATTGAACTGTTTGTGCAACTCAAGTAGCTCAACAAAAATATTTAATAGTTTGATAAAACCATTTATTAAATATATTTAAAAAATGGATTTATACAACTTGGCATTAGCATACTAATATAATTTGATTATTTTTATGTAATTACCATTTTGTCAAATTTTATACTTTCTTTAATTAATAGGTCTTTTTATTATTATTATTATTTTTTTTTTTAACAATGTTTTTGGCATTAAATAGTTATATTACAAACATCAACAATTTTAGTTATTCCCTAAATTAATTTATTACTCTATCCCTTATCTTATTAAAGTAATAATTCAATTTCAAATTTATTCCACAAAAATATTTGTATCCTCTTACATTGTTCCGCTATATTAAATAAAATAAAAAATATTATTGTACTTATAGTTTTTAATAAATATTTATTATCACATACATATAACATGCACAATTTTTACATTTACTCAAATTATTATCTCTAATAAAAATAATTTTTATAACATTAATTCAATATAAACAAATATTTGTTTATTAAATTTATAAAGAAATGTTAGAATTTCCAATAGTCATAATAGGATCTTGTACTTTGTTTTTGTCTATTATACAACACTACAAATTAGTTATATAATATAATTAAAACATTATTAATTATATGTTTTTATATATTATCTATTATTCAATACTAATCAATCTAAAAATAAATATTACTTGTCAATATCATACTGGATTTTTAAATTGTTATACCTTATTCAAATTTATAGAATTGTTGATTGCTCCATTTTTTATTATTTGAAATATAAATTTGTTATGTATGATAAACAAAAACAACTAGATGTAAACCATAACAATACATTTACATTAAATAATTTTTAAGTACAATATTTTATTTTTTAAGATAATAAAAAGAAAAAATCTTTGGAAAATATTCAAAATAACCTAATGTTATATGAAATCAAACCATTAAGTCCTACAAAACTTTCAATAAGTGTTAAAAAGTTCTACAATAATGTAAGTACATACACATATAATAAATATTGTGCATGCTACTTTTTAACTTATGATAATTTAATAATATTAATAACTTTCTTGTTGTATTTATTCAGAATAAATTCAAACAATATGAAGAAAATTTACATTTATACAACAAAAATGATACAGTGCATTTTAAGGAAACAATTACTATTAATACAAATAAAAATAAAGGTTTTGATACAATTATTTTATTTTATTTTATAATAATATTAAAAAAATTTTGATTAATTTTTTTAAATTTTAATATAATAGATAATAAAGATATCAAACATAAAAATATTTTAAGTTGTGAAAAAAATTACAGCAGACCTAAAAAGAAGCTTAAAAATATGAACTATCATAAACCATATGATTTAAACCCTCAACTAAATAAAGGTAAAATTATTATGTTAAATTTTAAACGTTCAAATAACATTCTGTGTATTTAAACATTGTCTTAGCACATATTGTTGAAACATCTATTTAAACCGAGTATTCCTTTTATCGATGTACATTCATTATTTCAAAAATTTTTATGCGGTGACAGGAATACCTTGAAAAATGTTATTCCACTAGAACAGGGTGCTCATCTAAACTTTTAATACTTGTAAGTCATAATTAATTTATTATTCGTCTGAAATTTGAAAAATTTATTTTTCGTACAAAAATATAAAAATTGTTTTTTTCACAATTTTTTTTTTTTGAAACAATTAGTAATAATAATTAAATGGGCCTTCAGAAATTTAATCATAAAATCATTAAATGATTGCTCTATATATAATATGTATAATAAACCAAATATATGTTTCATTTATAATGTAAAACAAAATACTTGAGGTTCAAAATTGTTCCAATTATTCTATTTTATAAGCAACTGAAAAAATATTCTAAATTCCACAGATCTTATGACAACAAAATGCATATAATTTAAAGTTAGTAAAAAGTATTTACACAAACTGCACCACTATCAGCTCTAAATATATATATTATCTCCATATGTATAATATATTTATTTTTTAACAGAACAGTATAAAAAGAAACAAAAATCTAATATAACTGAATCTATGAAAATAATTAGTAAAGAGAGTGGCTTTGAGAATGATCAAACTCATTTGAATTCTCTACAATCACAAAGTAGGTTTTCTACATTAAATATTTAAAATTTAGTTTATTTACATTTATTTATTTTTATTGGTTTGAAATAGAAAAGAATAAAACTCAGACAAATGAATATCTTGTTGAAGAATACCAAGTAACAAAATCTACAGTTAATGCTCTCTCAATATCTGTTAAGCGTTTTTACAAAAGTGTAAGTTAATTTTTGATAAAATTAACTTATTGCGTATTACTTTACCTTTGTTTCAAATTAAACTTGTATTTTTTCTATAATTATGTATTTATTAAAAAATTTTTTTAACAATACTTAGATTAACTAACTCATGTTTGTAAGGTCACTTAACTTGTCTTAAATTAGTGTTTTAATTACTTTTAAAGATGTTAATATAATCTGGCTTTTCAATAATTGTTTATAAAGCATGGATTTAAATATTTAAATAAGTATTTAAAAATACTTTAAAAAAATAATCACAAGTGCTTTTTAAATGCATAATACCTTTAAAACAGCCTCTTTTCTTAAACATGTGACTAAACAAGCAATAATTCACAAATATTTAACTTTAAACCTTTCTAATACTTTTTTAACTTAACTAAACAATATATCAGACTACTCACACACAATAAATAAACCCTAGTTATACTTAAAGTAAATATAATCGCAATAAACCTTCAACTTAAAACTTAGTTTTTAAGTTCTGGTGTGGCCACATGTAATAATTGTTGGATAAAAAATACCTAAAAACTATTGAAACAAATATTTTGAAAATATTTCTATGTATGATACTTTGTTATTTCCTATTATACTGAAGCTTGTGCAATATTTTCATATAATCCCTAAAAAAATTTGAAATTACCCAAGTATGGAGAAAAAAATGTTAAATTATATTTCATCTTTGACGTATCTGTTATATAGAATTAATTAAATTCTTGGAATTCATTGTCCAAGAGCGCCTTGAGATACACTTAGTATTGAATCCAGACCTAATCATAAGTAACCAATTCGAAATACTGCAATTTACTAATTACTCGTTAATAATAATTCTTCTTGTATGTTATTATCTTTAATAAATTTGCTTCTCTTCCTACTATTGCATATAATGTAGAAATCAAATTATATTATTTTTCAATTTGTATTTAACTGTATCACTACTAAATTATTGTTTAAAGGACTGGATAGATAATAAGGTGTCGGTTAGTATTATCTATATTTTATTAATCTTATTTTTGCATATTTCTTTAATTACTAAGTAAACATTGTTATTTTATTTTTATCAGAAGACATCTGACAATAATGAAAAAGTGATCAAGGATATGCCACTTGTTTCTGATACTACATTTAATTCAAGTAAAACCTTCATGCCTCATTGTTTTACATATTTATATATTTATATTATTGTTTAATTTATTTTATTTTAGAAGCAGATTTTAATCAGTCACCTCTATCGTCAAAATTAAATAGTAGTCATAAAATAAGGTATTATAATAATTCAATATTAATTTTAATTATTTTTATACAAACTACCCTCTTATTAAATATTTATGTAATATTTTTAAATTATTGATGCTTTTATTCTTCTTTATTATAATTCTTTTTCATATTTTTTAAACACGTCAATTATTACAAGGTTATTAAAGAGTGCTCATAAAAAATAAATTATATAAATTAAAATATATATATGTATTTTTATAGCTTAAATGTAAAACATATAAATGATACATCTAATAATAAGCAACAAAAAGTCACTGCATTTTTTCCTATCCGAAGAAGTGCTCGTAAAACAAAAAATATAGTCAACGAAGAAAAACAAATAGCCTTAAAAGAAGCTATTGCCTCCCAAAATGAAGATGGATTAAAAGTAAAAATAAAATATTTATAACAATGTATTTATGATTTAATGGTTTGTTTTGTTTTAACAGATAACTGTATTTCCTAATAAAGGTCGAGGCATAATTGCTGGTAAAGATTTTGCTCGTGGTGAGTATGTTGTTGAATATTCTGGAGAATTAATTTATATACAAGAAGCTCGTAAAAGAGAAGCCATTTATTCACAAGATACTTCAACTGGTTGTTACATGTATTATTTTAAATATGGTTCAACACATTACTGGTAAGATATTAAGTCAAATTTATTTATATTCTATTGCATATTAATATAGTATAATCTATTAAATGTTGTAGTATTGATGCAACACCTGAAAGTTCAAGACTTGGCAGACTTGTAAATCATTCAAGATTTGGTAATCTTGTACCTAAAGTTGTAGAAGTAGCTGGGTTACCTAGAATTGTTTTGATCGCAAAATGTGATATTAAACGAGATGAAGAATTAACTTATGATTATGGTGATCGTAGTAAAGAATCTCTGATCAATCATCCTTGGCTTGCATATTGAGCTGTACACGTTAATCTAGTGAAATTTACCTTAAAATTTTTTTATTACTAATAAATTAATCATTAATAAAGCAATTTTAAAATTTGCACTGCCAATAATTATATTGACTTTTATTAGCTTTAAAGGATGAAACTTTAAATTATTCATCAAATAAAAATGTTCAAATTGTCTTTTATAATGTCAAATATATTATATTTTTTAAATTTATTTTAATCATATTAATCTTTTAGGCCAATTTAATTATTTTATTATAAATTATTATTAATAATTATTAAAAATAAACTGATACTCAAGACTAAGTGAAGGGTCAACAATCACGTGTTTGTCTGTTTGGAGGGCAGATTATTTCTGATACGATTTTGACTTTTGACTGGTAACAGAGTAATTCTGTCCTTCTCACCGGCAATCTTACCCCAACTTTTGACCCTCACTATGCTATGAAAAAATTTTAAAATGTTATCTTACAAATAAATCTAGTTTCATTAGTTTCTGTTACTCTACACATATATATTACATTCTATTTTCATATTTTAATAATACATATTAATTCAATTTATCGTGTTGCTCAGTTTAATAATTTTAATTGTATTCATAAAACTTTACATATTAATTTATATTTTTATTTCAATGATAATGGTCATAATCAAATGTAATTAATAATTTATTGGCCTTATTACTTGAAATCTTTAATGTTCACGAAATAGCCATATTTTTTTACTTGTTATTTATTTATTGCTTTAAATTTCAAGTTGTGTATAATTATTGTATATTTGAATGACGATAATTTATTTTTAGAATTTCATGTTTTACTAATAATATTTATTATTAATTAAAAATAGTTGTTCAAAATTTTAAATTATACATATGATTTTTTTTTTTCTAGAAATGGGTATATAAGTAGGTTAGATTTATAAATTTTGTTAAAAATGAATTATTTGGAAAGCTCTAAACCAAATAATCTACAATTCATTGTTAAGTGACCTTATTAAGACTGTGCTGATTCATTAATTTATAACTATTATTTATTTATTTATTTATTTATTTATTTTTGAGACTGAAAGGTTCATTATAAATATGTAATAGTTTAAAAACTACCAATGCATTTTATTTTTGGTGTTATTGGTATATTTTACACACTAGCTTCCAAACTATGATAACAAGTCAATTTAAAAAAAAAAATGTACAATAGTATAATTCTATCTAAGTTTATCTTATTGATTTGTACATAGCAATAACTTGTGTTCTATATTTATATTGTATTTATAATATAAATTATATATATAATTATATAATTTATGTAGTTTAAGAAACTGTTATATTGTTATTGATAGTTATCATTATGTTTTATTTTGAATTGTACAAAATGTCTAAGTGGCATTAATTAAGACTTATATATGTTCATGACAAAACAAAATATATTTAACATAATAAAATAATATTTATATTGTTATTTTTTTTATAAAACGTTTGACAAAATTCCAGTTAGAAATGTAAAATAGTTCTTGGTTAATAATTTTACGAATTTATATTGAAATTTCAAATAAATTCCTTGTTATATTTATTATATATTTATTTATTTCTAAATATTTTTGTTTTATTGAAAGTTTTAATTTAATTAATGTAGTAACAAAATAATATTAAGCCATAACTAAGTTATGATAAATATTATATAATCAGATGAATTAGTTCTCTATAAAATATTGAATGACACTATGATCATTATGTATTAGATTTATAGTATACTTAGCATCATAGACATACGCATGGGTAGAGCTGATTGGGCTTAAGCCCCACTTGAGCCTTTTTTTTATACGTAGATGGGTTGGTATTTGGTACCTAAGAAAGTATTAAGGTGTAGAAAATTGATAAAATTAATCAAAATCCCCATTAACTTCGATTCACTTTTCCATACGATAAAAAAATCCCAAGTTTTATCCAACAAATTTGATGTTTGACAAATAATTATCAACTACATTATTAGGTAATTCTCAGTTCTCATCAAAAGTATAATATTAGCTCATATGTAGGTACCTACATTAATAATTATTATATGTACAAAATAAAATGTTTATCTTATCGTTTCAAAAAAATGGGTCGCTGTAAATTGTGGCAAGGTATATTTTGTATATATTATGTAAACTGTGGCCGAGGTATAATTTTTTTTTTTTTTAAAAAGGTATTAATTAGTTCATTCTTACACTATCAATGGTTCAGTGATTGATAGAGTTGCAAGCAATAGCGACTTGGGAGTTCTTTTCACTGCCGATCTGAACTTCCGCCCTCACATTGACTCCATCTGCTGCCGAGCCCTCAAATCGCTTGGCTTCGTAATGCGCACCATGAATGAGTTCAAGCTGTCTAAATCTCTCAAGACTGTCTACTGCTCTTTAGTCCGAAGCATGCTTGAGTATGCGTCTGTGCTCTGGGACCCATTTGTGGTAATTGATTCTTGCCACTTAGAGCGAGTACAAAGGCGCTTTCTGTCGTCTGCAGCTTACATGCTAAAAATTGTCCATCCTCCTCATGACTATACTCCAGTATTGCGCGCACTTGGCCTTACATCTTTAGCAGATAGGCGCGTTAAAGCTAATCTGGCCTTTTTAAAAAAGTTAATCGATGGTTCCCTAAACGCCCCTTCACTGCTCGTCCAAGTAAACTTTAAAGTTCCTCATCGGGCCACAAGGTCTCGAGTTCCTTTTGCTGTACCTCTCCACTGTACCAATTACGGTAAAAACAAACCAATTGACCGCATGATGCGGTTGGCTAACGAGGACCCCTCCTTTCTCAGTTTACCTTAATATTGTGTTATTTGTGCGCATTTATTGTATGTAATTTTACTTGTGTCCTAATTATTTTTAGTTTATATTTATTGTGCCTGTAATTCTGCTGTATTATTATTTTTTTTTTTTTTTTTTAAAAGTATAACACACCTTGTATATGTTAGCATCTTATTTTACTGAATTATTGTTATGTACTGTACTAAATAAGGAATTTTATTCCGTGAATTAATTAATAAATAAATAAATAAATAAATAAATAATTTGTATGGAATAAATTTATTTATTAAAATCAGTACCTATACTTTCCATCCAATTTTTCAGTCTTAGCACTGTTTTAGTATTGGTATGGATAAAAATATTAGTTTCGCTGTTTTTTGTTTATAATTAAAAAATGTGTTATTAACAATTAATAATAAAGTACTAGGTAAAAATGTGTATCCTTAAAAAAAATATCACTAAGAAAAATTTTAATTAAGAAACTGGTAAACATTTGTAAGATAATTTCCACACATAGTCCAACCGAGAATTTTTTTGCTTGCAATTCATACACTTTTTCGTGTATAAATGTTTCTTTTTCAGTCTTTTTTTTGCTTTTTGTTTTCTGACTTCTCAAGCTGATATCTGCATCGTAGAATATTAGTTATTACTAATCTTTGAATTGTACAACCGACCGGAAATCGAAATATCCAATGTCGTAATTTACGTATATCATAAAAATACACGAGCTGCACAGACTCCGAAAAAAATATGTTGCCTACTGAGATATCTAAAAACTAGAATTTTAATATTAAATACTTGAATAGTTCGTTATTTTATCTCCAACTTATGACATTACTGATAAAAGTTACCATATTTTATTACCTATATGGCTTTATATAAAATTAGAACACATAATATGGCAATAAATTTGATCATTTAAAGCTCTGTTAACCCTAATTTTGTTATTATTCCATCCAGCAGCGTGGCGAAGCAGTTTTTTTTTGAACCGCGGCTCTGTTGATTTTTGATGGTGATAGTAATGGTAGATTTGTAAAATGTATTGCTTTTAAATTACATACTTGAGAATTTTAGCATATAAATATTTATGCACTATTCCTACAACATCTACAGCAAGTGATTGATTGTTCTCGAAAGTCGAAGATGAAATTAATTAAAACTTGAATTAGATCCACTATGATGCAAAATAGACTTATAAATCTCATGTTATTATCATGAAAAGGAAAATTGAAAAAATATGCTTTTACATCTTCAGTGCTGAAACAAGAAAATATGTAGTTTAAGTAATAATATAATTAATATTACATTTTTATCTGCTTACTTTCATATTATTATTACCTGCTATCGTATTATATTTTCAATAAATTGTTATTTATATTATGTTAAATGGAAAGTATACATTATACACACTTAAGTGCTATAAACTATTTACCAAGAGCCTAAATATATATGTTTTTTTTTTATTTGAGACGTGTTTAAGAAGCTTTTGTTTAAATATTGGTATAAATTATATTAAATTAAAATGTTAGTATAATTGTTATAAATCTTTATAGTATAAACTATATTACACAATAATATACTATAAATTATTATAAATTAAAAATTGAATTTTTATTTCATGTTTGACTTCATACCAAAATCCCATGTCAACATTAAAATTTAAAGCTTAGTTTTTATAACGTATGCTTATATCGATCGTTACACATTTAATTTAAAACAAAATTTATATAAATAGTATTATCAATTATGGTAGTTTTTATTTTGTAGAGAAAAACAAATTTCTATCTGATGAAAATATATTTTTTTTTATTCAATTTGTATGTTTTACACATGGCAGTTGTTGCGAGCAAAATTTCATGTTTATTATCAAATTGAGTTGGTTGTTGGTAATATTGGTATTTATTGTGATTTCCCAACTTGTGTCTTTTATATCATGTTGTGATAACATAATCTTTTCTCATATTTGTTTATAGTGTAAATTATTAAATAATCTATTCTATAATCAATACTCAATAGTATAACGTATGACTAAATAATAAATTATTCTTTATATTTTGCTTAGTTACATAAGTTACATTATATTTATATACTTAATAAATTTATAAATTATTACATTTTGGCTATTATTAACGACGATATTTATTACAATATTTTATATTCTCAAACTATTAACTGTTTAATTATCAGATTAGTTCAAACTAAGATTTTTAAACATATTTGATTTTACATTGAATTTTAAAAGAAGTTGTAATATTAGTAAGTAAGTTTATGATCATACTCATTTTAATTTTTGTCTTAAATCGATTTCTATCTTTTTAGTTTTTTATTTCATTATGGCTGCTCCAATGGAACGTATTCAAGCTCTAGAATTAATTGAAAAGGACATAATAACATGTTTACAAAGCGCTGGTCAAGCATTATTAGAACTTAGTAAGGAAAAATCCAGTTTAAAACAAGTAGAGAACCAATCACACCAGTTCTTAAAAAGTTTAGGTAATGTTGAATCAAAGCTAACTGAACAAATAAATTACTTGACTCAAGTATCTACTGGTCAGCCATATGAAAATAGTGGGTATGCATCACAAAAAGTTCTCCAGATGGCTTGGCATCGTCTTGAACATGCAAGAAGTAGGGTTAAAGAATTGGAACGTTCTAAAAATAAATATCTCCAGGATCAAGAACAATTAAAAGGAAATGTCTCAAATTTATTATAATGCTTTGTGATTCTTAAGTTGTAACTAAAATTAATTGTCATTAAAACTATGTGGAGTCATAAAGTAATCCTATTATAGAAAATTATTTTTTACTATTGATGAAATAATTGTTTTTTATATTTAATAATTAAAAATGTATAAGTATCTACTTTTAGTTAATATTTAGTAATTATCATTTAATTGTAATACTGTAATTTCAATTAAATTTTAAATCATTATAAACTTTGTCAAGTTTATCCATATTTTAATCAAATTAAAATAATTATTTCATAAACCATAAAATCTAAGGATCAATATATGAATATCCTACTAAAAAAATGTCTTGATCAATTAACAAATCCATTAAAGTTTTTCATTCATAGTGAAATTAAATTTCCGCTATGCGTCTATGCCATTATAATATATGAAGTTGAATTCAATACGACACAATAATAGTGTGATCCAGGATTTACTTTTCTAATTTGTTAATCTTTATCCAACTACATGCAAGCTACTAATCCTAAATTGTTACATTTTAGTCTTACAATCTTATTCAGATCTAAAACTGGTCTTATTAAGGATAATATATTAATACATGACATGCCAATAAAGCCCATGGTTAATAAATAATATCTTAACTCTAAATAAGGCCATAACATAATTTAATCTGTATATATTATAGTTTTAACAATGATATTTATAACTAAACCTAAGAAAGAAAAAAGTTAGCCCAAAATATTTTCTTTAGTTTTTTTGATTCCGAGATAATTTTTAAAACTTGAAAAATATCATGAATAATTTATGGTTTTTATGTATGTATATTATCAATGTATTGTATTTATTAATTATTGCAGATTTTGAATTTCGATAATTTAATCAATAGTTATTAAATTTATTATAATTTATACTACCTTACTCTAATGGTGCATTTGTAGTATGTATACTAGATATATGATTGATGATTGATGTAACGAATAGTCAAATAAACTTAAGGATAAGAACATTATCTATTGTTTCTTGTTGGTTTTTAATGATTCTTGAATTTTAGTAAGGTATAAGTAGAGGTACCTATATTAAATATTAAAATTTAAAAAATAGTGTATCTCATAAGTTTGACTACTTTATCTTATTATTGGAAATATTAACCAACTCGGCTATTATATACATATTATATTGTTTAAATATATTTATATAAATATTAATTATTATTTAAAAACCATAAAATTTAATTATTTCATATTTTAAAATTATAAACGTCGTAATTTTTCTGTATCGTTTTTTTTCCCTTTAGAGATTCGTAAGCATAACACTTTGTCTATGATTAAAAAATGAAATTTCAATCATAATTGATAGCTTACATACTCACTTACACATTTGGAACAACCTTGAAACGTCGTATCTTGTTTTCAAACACGGCCACTACAACATTTACTGTTAAATACTTATCTATCTATTATATTATGTTAGCATATTATCCAAAATTCCTAACTATTGAGTTGCATAATTGCATGAATTTAATTTACAGACAGTATTTTCTTTAAACCTAAATGACGTGCCACCTGATAGACGTATTATGGTTAATTTACTGTAAATAATTATGGCAAAATACTATATTTATTATGTAGGTATCGAGTCTATAGAAATGTTCATTCGGTTTTTTCCAACTTCAGATAGAAAATCATCACTTTTGCACTGTTTCTAACGCTTATAAATTATTCTTAACATAAGTGAATATTATATCTTATTTTTGTTCCATTTGTATTAATGTCTAACATAGTTTAATAATGGTGACTTTTATATTATGAAATAGGTTAGGTACATAAAAAATAAAATAAATATATGAATTATGAAATTTAAAAATTTATCATTATTCTGAAATTTACACAGGCCCATAAACATAGCCACATAAAATTAACATGTAGCTAAACTCACACTAACCAAAGTGCATGGCATAAAATATATTAAAATTTAGTTTTTAATATTATTTAAGTATTCGTAAAAAAGTAAAATAAACTAACTTACACGTTACTTTAACGTTTTGCATATAATTTTTACTTCCTAATAAAGATTGTTTCATAAAGTGCGCCATTTTCGAAATGTGTAGGATTTATTTGTTTGAAGGTTGTCAACCATATTTAATTATTTTTGTCATCTATTATCACTCCGATTAGAAGGTACTTCGTTTTTATTGAACTTAATTGTCATGGAGATATTCAGTTACCACTTGGCACTTACCATCAGCATATATACATATACTGATACTGAAAACCATTACAAAAACGGTGAGTGTATATCTGTGACTGTCCATATACTTCGCATAATTTTTGGACATGTGTATTAAAAGTTCCGAGGTTAGTACGGAAATTCGAAAAAACTAATTCAGTTGAAACTTTAAACACAAAAAAGTCCAGGTCAAAACCGTAGAAATTATTTATGATTTTGGCTGATTTATTCCATGTTCAAAAATTGCGTACTTTATGAAACACTCTATATAATATGTTTCATGGAATATTCTGACGTAGGTACATTTTACAAATCGATTAAGATTTATTTTTAATTTTTCAATGACATGACTTTTAAAAATTTTTTTTCCTCATGCACACGACTTCTCCATATTAATTGATAATTTTTCGCAACTTTAATATAAATCATTTTTTGCAATAAAGTTATTTTAGAAATTATAGTTTAGAAATGCGAGATAGACTGTCTATGTACCTAACCAGCCATATGGGTACATTTATTAATTTATGATACATTCATGAGACATTGAGACATGTCTCCATTAACTCAATTCGCGTGGTAGGTACCCCTCTTTTAAGAACCTACCACACCTTATGTTTTAAAGAATGAGACACTATTCACACTGTCTTTATTATCTAGTAAATAACATTATTATTGACTACTGTGTTGTTTTAACCTGATAGCGCTTATTTATACCTGTCTATGCATGAATATTTATAATTGTTATAATTTCTTAAAACTAAAATATTTATCTATATTAAAATACAATGCATTTTTATAAATCGCATGTGATTTAAAACTAAAAAACAATACCTGATCCAACGAAAATGACATAATTATCGAAGATATATTGATATAGATTATAACGTTCTAATATTTATGTGTGTTTTCCATGTAATATACAAGCATAAAACAAATTGTTCATACGCAGTTCAAAATTTTTAAATATACACAAAACTCAATTTTTTTTAAATGTCTGAAACTTTGAATTATAACAAAACCATTACAATCACAAAATTAAGCAAATTAGTTTGTACTTCATAGCAATTTATATATTTTATTGATATGGAATCCCATTATTCTTTAGGTAACTCTTTTAAGGGAGCTGCAGTCGATCGTGTTTTAAGGAAATTAATATAGGCAATATAACATGATGATATTAAAGTGACTTGTCAATGTAGGTTTCGGTACTTGGGTGATGACGATGAATTTCAATAGTGCAACTATGCAAGTTTGTTGTAGTAAATAGTTTGAATAATAAGAATATTTTTATTTTAAATTTAGATTATTCATAATATTATAATACGCATTAATTAATATACTGTACTAATCATTACAGCATATTAAGTATACGCCAGTCTGACCTAATAATTTTTGATATACTATGCTTATAGAAAAATTATTTTTCATTGTATAACTTGTTTTCAGATTAGTTAATTTTAGTGTCATTACAAGTTTTATACATTTAAAGAAACAATCCATGAAGATTATATAATTATTTTCTTGAAAATGAAACAAATCTGTTCTTATCAACTGTCGAGGTTTATCTAGTATTTCAGAAAATTCAAACACCTTATTTGTGTTTGTTTTTCTATACATTTAACAAATTTAACATTTATTTACAACTTCTTCTATGTCTTTATTTATTCCTAACCAATAAAAGCAAGTTCTTTATCTAAATTTCTCAATTCTCATGTGATTAAAATGAATCCTATTCAAAATTTTTTAGTAAAATTATCCTATTCGTTTTGTTTAGTACGCCTTCATGTACTGCTATTAATTTTTTAGAATCTCAATACTTTTTAATTTCCTTATGTAATTGTTTTATTTTTTCCGATCAATCTTTAATGACACTACTTTTTAAGATATTAAAATCTTCATCTGAATCTGTAGTTAACTAACTGATGAACATACTTTTTTTCAATTATTATTTTGACTTCTCTTTTCTCCCAATCGTCAAATATACTATCACCTTTTGATTTTATTCTTTTTGATCTATTAGCTGTTAAAAGCTCTTTACCAGATTTTCATTTTACAACTAATTTATACTGTTGCAGTTTTATTAAACTCCTTTGTAGTCTCAAAGGATATAATACTAGAGATTTTTTAAACATGGACTTTCGTGGGTGACGGTCAGTTTCTACTATAGATGTACTAATGAAATCTACGAAATCCAAATGCAATACCTACTTAGAGCTTTCTTCTCAATTTGAACATATTTTTTCCGAATATCAGCTAATGATTTGGGTGCAAAATAATTGGATTATTTTGTAATAGCCTGTTCCTAAATCATTTTATGGTGCATTCCAGATACTATTTAGAGTAGTTTTCTATCAAAATTCTGTAAAATTGGCTTACTAATAAAAATTCATTTTATTTTATCTAAAGCGTCACTATGTAGATTTTTCTATTAAAAAAAAAAAAATTTTTTTTTTTTTATTAAATCCCTTATTTATGCTACATTAGGTAAAAACTTTCCAACATAATTTACAACTCTCAATATTTGTTGTAGCTCCAATTTATTCTCGGTGGTGTTAATTCTTTTATTTTTTTTATTATTTTTTAGTCTGATTTTACTCCTAAAGTCCTAAACTTGTTACTTCATGTCCTGCAAAATAATCTTTATTTTCACTAAATTTGCATTTTGATTTATTAAATTTTACATTTCACTCACTTGCAATTTGAAGTGTACTTTTCTCAGTCTCCCATTGTGCTATAGCTATACTCCTTGTTTCTACCATAAACTATTTTATTATTTATGTAATATGTATTAACACCTTCCAATCCTTCAAATATTTGTTTAAATTTTTTATGGAATATTTCTTGGACTGAAGAAATATCAAAAGTACCTACACGTAATTATTGAAAATAAATTGATATAGTTGATAACGCTCT